ATCTTAACTCACATAATGCTTTTAAAGGATCATGTTTTAACCAACAATAGATCCTCGCAACCTCAACATCCCTTTCTGGGCCATTTTGCTAAATTTTGTTTATATCAATGGAGGTGCCGTATGATGACACAATACCCGTAATACACCCGTAAACATTTTGTATTGTGTATTCAGACATGAAATGGGTTGGGAGTTTTGGGATCAGTCAAATCCCCTTTCTTTCGGAGAAGTATTGTTCGACATTTGCAAACCCAAGGCGGAACGTCCCCAGTATCCAAACGAGAATTGAAACATAAAAGGCGTTTGGACTCAAGGGAACAGTTTCCAGTAGCGTGATTGAGTTTTACGCCGTTGTTAGCAGTATTCCAGCAATATTACGAGGATACCAGAAATGGGTTTCACACATTGTACCTATGTGGGGAATCGAACCCGGGTCTTAAGCGTGACGAGCGAACGCTTTAACCACTAGGCTATCCCACCGCCCCGTTTCCAATACCGGAAATCAGGTGTAACCAATGGCGACATGCCATGTGCATTATCATTGTTATCTACTACTCATGGTTCCTGGAGGCTGCAGTAGCAAGTGCTTCCAACACGGTGTAAGGGGGTAATAAATGACCTAATCATACCCCTTAAGGTACTATGCTCATGCCGGCATCGCTGGGTTTCCACTGACAAGGACATTAAATTCATTGCAGAATCTGCATTTCATATTTACATTTGGAGGCCAAATCACAAACTGCTGGTTACGAGCAGGAAGTGACTGGTCTTGAGCAGCAAACAGAGAGCCATTCACTGCACTCAGTGCAGCGGTGGATCAATAATATATAAATACATTTACATCAGACTAGCTCTGTGATGTTTATTTCTACTGGAATTAAACTGAAAACAAGTTATCGTTCTTGTTTAAAATAGTTTTTGTTCCTACATCAATATGAATTCTTCTAGAGGGACACGGGTCGCTTTTCGGCTTGTCCTTGAACAATACGAAGAGTTCACGAAAATTATCCGGCCTTTGTTTGACTAATTGTTACTCGTTTTACCTGATTTTTCATTTGTACTGTACAGTTGTTTACAGAACAAAGCACTACCCGAGCTGTATGACGGCAGCCAGTAATTAACCGTGTCTAACGTGGACAGTCCAATGATTGATAACATGAGCAACTGCACAATCATCCAAGTCTCCGAGCCTGGCCACGTGCTCCATAAAGCCGTTCCTGACGACATAGGTATGGTCGCAACCAAGGTGAGCTACAGCACCCAGGCTCTATATTCTAACATTAGGGACCCTTCATAATTTATTCTGACATTAGGGACCCTTCATAATTTATTCTGACATAATTTATTCTGACATTAGGGACCGTTCATAATTTATTCTGACATTAGGGGCCGTTCATAATTTTTTCACCCAGTTCTAGTACATTAATTGATCTTATTTTTGTTTCAAGTGTTAGCGCTGTACTAAAATCGGGTGTTCTATATCCTGTATGTAGCGATCATTGCCCTGCATATGTCACCATCAATGAGTCGATTGCAAAATCGATTAATTACAAGATGAAAATACATAATTATACTCTAGCTGATTTTGACGGTATTAAAAATGCCTTATATACTCTTGATTGGCATGCTATCTTTGCCTCTGAAAATATTAATTGTATCGCAAGCGACTTGACTGGTGCAATTCTTGAATTATGCGATAGTTATATTCCTAATAAAGTCGTTACTATAAGGCCATGGGACGCCCCCTGGATGAATAATGAGGTACGTAAATTGATTCGTAAACGCAATCGCCATCATAAAATCGCGAAAAGGCGTAACTCATCATCTGACAGGGCAAGTTTTAGACTGAGCAGAAATAAAGTTATATCCGCGGTAAGAAATGCAAAGAAGATGTACATGAATAAAATTGATGAATAAATAAACAATGAACACGGTACAAAATCATGGTGGCGTTTAGTTAAGAATTATATAAAAAGTAAACACACCACCTATATTAATACTTTTCCCTCGATAAACCATAACGATAAACTATATGATGATAGTGCTGAAACAGCAAACATTATGAACGATTTCTTTGCAGATCAGGCAAGAGTAGCTGCTCCTAATAGGGATATTCCTGAAATTCGTTCAGAGGTAGATAACCCATTATGTGACTTAACACTCAGTCCGCAAGAAATCCATGATATTCTCTTCTCTGTTGATATCACTAAAGCAATAGGCCTAGATGGTATTGACAATAAATTTCTGAAAATGAATGCAAGACAATTAGCAGTTCCCTTATTTGAAGTTTTTAATTTATCATTAAAGAATAACGCGTTTCCTGATATCTGGAAGGAGGCATCAGTTGTTCCTATACACAAAAAGGCAGTATAAATGAATGTTCTAACTATCGACCAATCGCACTAACAAGGTGTGTAGCAAAGAATTTCGAAAAATGCATTTTTAAACATGTATTTAATTATTTTAGGGATAATGAAATACTTACAAACTTACAATCCGGTTTCATGCCAGGCGATTCAACGGTAAATCATTTAACGTACCTGTATGACTTTATAGCGCGTGCATTAGATAGGAGGTAAGGAAATTAGGGCTGTATTTTGTGACGTAAGTAAGGCTTTTGACAAGGTCTGGCATAAAGGTATTATACATAAGCTAAGAAGTTATGGTATCGGGGGTAACTTGTTGAAATGGTTTGAGAGTTATCTAGACAATAGAGTTCAGCGAGTTGTTATAAATGGTTACACGTCTGATCAAAGATCAATCTTAGCCGGGGTTCCCCAAGGCTCTGTCTTAGGACCCCTATTGTTTATAGTTTATATCAACGACATCGTTGAAGGAATTAACAGCAATATCCGTCTCTTCGCAGATGACACATCACTTTATGCTATAATAGATGATCCTGATGAAACTGCTCTTTCTCTTAGCAATGTATCTACGTAACATTTCTGATTGGGCTGACAAATGGCAAGTTACATTTAATCCTAATAAAACAGATTCTATACAATTCTCTCGTAAAGTACAGCCCAGCCCAAAACGAAACTTAACAATGAAGGATAGTAATATTAAAGACGTTAATAGCCATAAACATTTGGGACTTACTTTACAGCACGATTGCTCCTGGACTGACCATGTTAACGGTATCGCCAAAAAGGTTGCACCCATGGTAAACTGTCTTAGAGGTTTAAAATATAGTTTCTCGCGTAAAACTTTACAAACAATGTTCAAACAATTTATTTTACCTATTTTAGACGATTGTTGTCACATCTGGGACAATTCTACCAAAAAGCAAGCACTAACACTAGAAAAACTTAATCTTGATGCACTTAGAACTATTTGCGGTGCTGTTCGCGGTACGAGTCATAACAAAATATATGATGAGACAAATTTCCAACCACTATGTACTCGAAGACACATCCCAAAACTAACATTTTTTATAAAATGGTTAATAATTTAACTCCAAAATATTTGAGCAATCTCGTCCCTCCTAAGGTATCTGACACTACAAACTACAGTTTCCGAGACCGTTTGAAGCTCCAAACTATCGATAGTAAAAGTGCAAATTATGCCAAGTCATTTCTCCCAGATACAGTAAGATTGTGGAATTCTTTGTCTACCGATTATAAAGAATCGGCTACTTTGGGTAGTTTTAAGAAACAGATTAATGTGTCAAATAATAATAGTCAAAACTACTTCAATTTAAACTCTGGATCAAGATTCTGTCAGATTATCCATTCACGCCTCAGGCTCGGTTGCAGCGATTTAAACGCACATAAATATCAACGATTTATATCTTCAAATCCCTCTTGTTCTTGTGGCTATTGTTACGAAGATCCAATTCACTATTTCTTTTCGTGCGTTAATTACTCTGACATAAGACATAAAATGCACTTCTATACTAAAGGATATGACATCAAATCAATACTATACGGCCACTCTAATGGATCTACTAAAGGTAATCTTGAATTATTAGAATCTATCCATTCTTTCATTGTACTGTCAGGCAGATTTGTGTTGTAATAGTAAAACCGAAATTGCACTTACTATTAAATATTTTCCGATAATAATGGTTCTAATGTTATAAGCGGCTATATTACAGTTTTGGATTGTTACATTTCCAGAAAGTTATTGTTTATTGTTTGTTAATATCATGCTTTTCTCCTCACGATTGTTATATCTATAATTTATCTGTATTCCGGAGCGGTATTCAGATAAGCAACATACTGCTTGTTTACCAATCCGGTTCCTCTTTTGGAAATAAATATGGTTAAACAAAAAAAATAATTTATTCTGACATTAGGGATATTTCATAATTTATCCTGATATTAGGGACCGTTCATAATTTATTCTGACATTAGGGATCGTTCATAATTTATGGCTAGGGGGGTGGGGTGGGGGTGGGGTTAGATGATGACTTTTATGGAGACGCATGTGCAATGTGAATGACCCCTCCCCAACCCCTAAATTGTATGTAAGTAAGTGAACACCCCCTTACCCCGCATTTCCTGCGCAAATTCAATGAACCCCTTCATAATTAAGCATAATTGTTATTACATTCATGACCCCCTACCTCCCCAGAACATAAATGGTGATCCCCCTTAAAATCATCATCACCCCTCCCGAGCCATAAATGATAAACCTATCTAGTTATCAGCTGATTCGATGAACTGTCGTAGCATTGTAAGCAATGATGTGTTTGGATTGGGTTCTTTAAAGAAAAACATCCATTTTGGATTTGGAACGAATAAAGTTCCTGTGTCCGCGTAAAGATAACATGATATAAATGGTCAAGCTGACTTCCACGTCAGACTATATGATTATACATTTGATGCATAATAACGAGTGAAATTCGTGACAATCTGCGATATCATTCCGGTGACAATTGATCAAAATTATATTTCCATAATAATGAGACAATTTTCTTCGTCAAAGATGGCGGCTACTGCAACTGGAAACGTGTATATCTTCGAATTTGCGAACATGTGAAAACGAAAGGTGCCTACCTCATTTTACAACCATACGTCGCCGGGTTCTCGTATTAGGAACAATTCACCTTCATATGGTTCAGTGTGAGCACTGTAAACAACGAAATGAGGTATCCGAAGCATAGCGCATGGATACAGTGGGATGCTTTTCTGTGTGATTACACCTTTCCCAGAAGCACTTTTCACCGTCTTATAGTGACGCCGATAGATGTGGATTAATAGCTTTTGTCATTGCTAGTTCCGTATAAATCTGTTAATAGAAAGGCCGCTGCTTAAACTTTGGTTGGTTCATCAGAAGTAGAAAAAGTACCTCAATCAAAAGCCCTCAATAAAGGAACGTGGATCTACTGATCTCTTTATTTCGTGGACCATACAAGTGTTCTAGAAGCGTACCTAAAATCTCTACACCAATATTTGCCCTGATCTGAAAAGTTGAAATGAGATCAAATGTACAAATATCAAGCTAATGTGTTTTGAAACTACACTTGAAACTAGTTGGACCCCGTTGCACAAACCGATCTTAGCGTTAAGGCAACCGTAAGTCTATGTTAAAGAATGGAAGTTACGATGATTTATATGATGCAGAGTGAGTATTGTATCAGTGTTGCAGTAGAAAATGCGAAAATCCACCTTCAGTTAACGAACTTTGTACAATGTCATCGATTGACAATCTTGCACCGAGCTGATGTTGTTTAAATCACTACCTACATTGCAGTCTGATGAAAGCAGCATCATGTACACGAAGCGCATGTAAAAGGTTCCTTGTATCAACGGAAGCAAATTATTCCATGGAGGGACCTTCGATATCACGGTAGTAATAGGAGTAGTAGAAGCAGTAGCCGTGATATTATTGGTTGTGGTAGTAGTAGTGATAATGGTGGATTAAATAGTAAGTAGTAATAGCAGCAGTAGTAGTAGCAGCAGTAGTAGTAGTAGTAACAGCGATAGTAGTAGTAGTAGCAGTACTGATAGTAGTAACAGCAGGAGGAACAGTATTACCAGCGACAGCAGTAGCAGTAGGAGTAACACCGACAGTATTAGTAGCAGTAGAAGTAGTTGTAGTAGTAGTAGTAGTAGTAGTAGTAGTAGTAGTAGATGTAGATGTAGTAGCAGTAACAGTAAGAGGGGCAGTAGTATTTGTAGCAGTGGTAGTAGTAACAACAACAGGGGCCGTATTAGAAGCAGTAGCAGTAGGAGGAGTAGTAGTAGTAGCAGTGGTAGTAGCAGTAAGAGGAGTGGTAGTAGTAGTAGCAGTAGTAGTAGCAGTAAGAGTAGTAGTAGTAGCAGCAGCAGTAGTAGTAGTAGCAGTGGTAGTAGCAGCAGCAGCAATAGTAGTAGTAGTACTAGGAGCAGCAGCAGTAATGGTAGTAGCAGCAGTAGTAGTAGTAGCAGCAGCAGTAGTAGTAGTCGTAGTAGTAGCAGCAGCAGTAGCAGTAGCAGCAGCAGTAGTAGTAGTAGTACCAGCAGTAGTAGTAGTAGTACCAGCAGCAGTAGTAGTAGTCGTCGTAGTAGTAGCAGCAGCAGTAGTAGAAGTAGCAGTAGCAGTAGCAGAGTAACAGCAAAGTAGTAGTAGTAGTAGTAGTCGTGGTAGTAGTGACAGTAGTAGCAGCAAGAGGGACAGTATTAGAAGCAGCAGCATCAGTGATAGTAGTAGCAGTAGCAGTAGTAGTAGCAGTGGTAGTAGCAGCAGCAGCAGCAATAGTAGTAGTAGTAGCAGCAGCAGTAATGGTAGTAGCAGCAGTAGCAGCAGTAGTAGTTAGTAGTAGCAGCAGCAGTAGTAGTAGCAGTAGTAGCAGTAGCAGCAGCAGTAGTAGCAGCAGTAGTAGTAGCAGTAATAGTAGCAGTAGTAGTAGTAGCAGTAGCAGTAATATTAGTAAGAGCAGTAGCAGTAGTAGTAGCAGTAATATTAGTAGCAGTAGCAGTAGTAGTAGCAGTAATAGTAGTAGTAGCAGTAATATAAGTAGTAGTAGCAGCAGCAGCAGTAGTAGTAGTAGCAGCAGCAGTAGCAGCAGCAGTAGTAGGAGCAGCAGTAGCAGTAGTAGTAGCACTAATAGTAGTAGTAGCAGTAGTAGTAGCAGCAGCAGTAGCAGTAGTAATAGTAGTAGCAGCAGTAGTAGTAGCAGCAGCAGTAGCAGTAGTAATAGTAGTAGCAGCAGCAGTAGTAGTAGCAGCAGCAGTAGTAGTAGCAGCAGCAGTAGTAATAGTAGTAGCAGCAGCAGCAGTAGTAGCAGTAGTAGCAGCAGCAGTGGTAGTAGCAGCAGCAGTAACAGTAGTAGTAGCAGTAATAGTAGTAGTAGCAGTAGTAGTAGCGGTAATAGTAGCAGTAGTAGTAGTAGCAGTAATAGTAGTAGTAACAGTGATAGTAGCAGTAATAGTAGTAGTAGCAGTAGTAGTAGCAGTAATAGTAGCAGTAATAGTAGTAGTAGCAGTAGCAGCGGCAGTAGCAGTAGTAGTAGCAGTAGCAGCAGCAGTAGCAGTAGTAATAGTAGTAGCAGCAGCAGTAGCAGTAGTAATAGTAGTAGCAGCAGCAGTAGCAGTAGTAGTAGCAGCAGTAGTAGTAGCAGCAGTAACAGTAGTAGTAGCAGCAGCGGTAGCAGTAATAGTAGTAGTAGCAGCAGTAGTAGTAGTAGTTGTAGTAGTAGTAGTAGTACTGTAGTAGTTGTAGTAGTAGACGTCGTATATGTTTCGGTAGCCGGGGGTAGCTTTAGTCGTTAGTACTGAGTGGATGCACCGAGGCTGATGTACCGATGCTGATATACATCCAAATCAGAAGCTACTATGATCGTTAAACAGCTTAACCGTGTGGTAGTCAAGTCGTCATTCATGCAGTCTCATCACAGCTGTTAATCTCACACTGCTTGCTCCGATATCTGGCCTGTCCACCTGGTCCGTTCATTCACTCGTGTTGTCTGTTCATTACTTCATTTATTCATTGGACTACGCAAAGACGTAAATACATGCACGTCTTTGGTCCACGTGAATGTATACTTCTATTGGTCCCCCGTTCGGCGTATAACCACTTGGCATTTCAGGTTATCGTTCACAACACGTGTATTTTTCGCATCAAGCCCCAACATGCCCGTCTCAGCAACAGTTAACGGTTTATCTTCGCCCAATCGAATGGTATTCTGTAGCCATACGCCAGATGTTTGAGCGTAAATAATTCACGTGTCAGGCCAAACGTCACGCTATTCCGCGGTAATTGATAACGCAAAATTCGGAAAGTCCGCTCATAAAACATTTACCGTTGATCAATGAATTCTCGTGCTGTTTCCCCAATTTATAGCTTGAAACAATGGAAGGAGGCATGTCTGAGGTTACACGCTTTGTGTTCCATTGTAACCGACACCCTAATTTCCCTGAGGTACATGAAGCCATATGTTACACTGTTTGATTCGTGTCGGTTCTAAATTAGGTGCATGGTATCAGTTGTTGGTGCTGAGGTATGCTGTGTGTGCGTGGGTTCAGGTAGCGTTAGGCGTTAGTAACTGGGTAGACGTCGGGTATGTTGTATGTGTAGTGATGGGGTTAGTGTGAGACGTTAGTTACTGGGTAGACGTCGGGTATGTTGTATGTGTAGTGGTGGGGTTAGTGTGAGACGTTAGTTACTGGGTAGACGTCGGGTATGTTGTATGTGTAGTGATGGGGGTAGCGTTAGACGTTAGTAACTGGGTAGACGTCGGGTATGTTGTATGTGTAGTGATGGGGTTAGTGTTACACGTAAGGTACTGGGTAGACGCCGGGTATGTTGTATGTGTAGTGGTGGGGGTAGCGTTAGACGTTAGGTATTGGGTAGACATCGGGTATGTTGTATGTGTAGTGGTGGGGGTAGCGTTAGACGTTAGTTACTGGGTAGACGTCGGGCATGTTGTATGTGTAGTGATGGGGGTAGCGTTAGACGTTAGTAACTGGGTAGACGTCGGGTATGTTGTATGTGTAGTGATGGGGTTAGTGTTACACGTAAGGTACTGGGTAGACGCCGGGTATGTTGTATGTGTAGTGATGGGGTTATTGTTACACGTAAGGTACTGGGTAGACGTCGGGTATGTTGTATGTGTAGTGATGGGGTTAGTGTTACACGTAAGGTACTGGGTAGACGTCGGGTATGTTGTATGTGTAGTGATGGGGTTAGTGTGACACGTAGACATCGGGTAAGGTACTGGGTAGACGCCGGGTATGTTGTATGTGTAGTGATGGGGTTATTGTTACACGTAAGGTACTGGGTAGACGCCGGGTATGTTGTATGTGTAGTGATGGGGTTAGTGTTACACGTAAGGTACTGGGTAGACGTCGGGTATGTTGTATGTGTAGTGATGGGGTTAGTGTGAGACGTTAGTTACTGGGTAGACGTCGGGTATGTTGTATGTGTAGTGATGGGGTTAGTGTTACACGTAAGGTACTGGGTAGACGTCGGGTATGTTGTATGTGTAGTGATGGGGTTAGTGTGAGACGTTAGTTACTGGGTAGACATCGGGTATGTTGTATGTGTAGTGGTGGGGTTAGTGTGAGACGTTAGTTACTTGGTAGACATCGGGTATGTTGTATGTGTAGTGATGGGGGTAGCGTTAGACGTTAGTTACTGGGTAGACATCGGGTAGACATCGGGTATGTTGTATGTGTAGTGATGGGGGTAGCGTTAGACGTTAGGTATTGGGTAGACATCGGGTATGTTGTATGTGTAGTGGTGGGGGTAGCGTTAGACGTTAGTTACTGGGTAGACATCGGGTATGTTGTATGTGTAGTGGTGGGGGTAGCGTTAGACGTTAGTTACTGGGTAGGCATCGGGTATGTTGTATGTGTAGTGGTGGGGTTAGTGTTAGACGTTAGTTACTGGGTAGACGTCGGGTATGTTGTATGTGTAGTGATGGGGTTAGTGTTAGACGTAAGGTACTGGGTAGACGTCGGGTATGTTGTATGTGTAGTGATGGGGTTAGTGTTAGACGTAAGGTACTGGGTAGACGTCGGGTATGTTGTATGTGTAGTGGTGGGGGTAGCGTTAGACGTAAGGTACTGGGTAGACATCGGGTATGTTGTAGTTGAGGGTAGGAGGGGTAGGTTAGAGAGAGAGAGAGAGAGAGAGAGAGTTCTTTAGAGAGAGAGAGAGAAATCAGAGAGAGAGA